CTTCCCTTCCCTTCCCTTCCCTTCCCTTCTTTCTTTTGCAAAACAAGTCCCTTCCTATAACTTCCCAGCATAGCAACATGGAGGCAAAGGAGGAAAATTAGCATTTTTAAATTTTGCTTTTTAGCTTGAAGTGGAGAGAGATTTGCATTCATTCAGGGCCTTCACTAGTTTAGGGGGCACAGCCTGAAAATCTTTTGCACACTTCTATTGGTCAGCTGAAAGCAACACCGATGGCTTATAGTGATCTCTGAATTTTCCCAGTATTCCAAGCTCAGTAACAATGGAGAAGATTGGATGGTCAGCTTCAAAACAGGTTGGGGAGTAGAAACAGAATCGTACGGAAATTTCCCAAGCTGACATCTACTTACAAGTAAACAGACTGAAGAACAGGGAAGACAAGTAGAGATGGGCGGCTATATAAATGCGACATATAAATAAATATATATATTTTAAAAAATAAAATTTCTCAACCTTCATGAGTCAGTGTCATGCTGCTTCTTGCCGTCGTATACTTACATGCTGTCCAAATATTTGTTCACATCTTCATCCTTTTCATAATCCTTACACAGTTGGGCTACCAAAGCGCCATAAGTGAGCACAAAAAGCTCTCTGCTCTGTCAATCACAGGAAATACTGAATGAGAATTGAAGAAAAACATACAATCCTCTACCCCAAGAGGTCTACACTATATAAATATATTTTCTAATGAAAAAGCAGAGAACCCAGACAGGAGCTGGGTTCACACATTACACAAAGCCAAAGAGTGGTTTTGCTTTGTCCTACTGAGTGACCCCCGTGATTGTGACTTGTTAATCAGCATTTATGCCTCAGTCTGAAATGTGACACCAGACACAGTGGCCTGGTTTAGTGCAATATGTGAATCCAGGCAGTGTCCACTGCAAAACTGCACATGTGCTGACAAAAAATAATAGAGCCTTACATGCCGATATGAATGCCCCAAATATCCCAGGACCCAGTGATAAAAATTAGGATAGGTGCGTTAGTCAGTCTGCATACCATGTGATGAGCTGAAGCAGAGGATGAAATGGCGGGCAATTGCCAGTCCTAGAACATAAAAAGAAGTAAAAGAGGACGGAGCACAAAACGTCTTGACTGGTTTTATTTTACTTTAAAAAAAAAAAAAATGATGAAATTAAATGAAAAGGCAGTTCACTAATCAAAAGGAAAAAATTATATAGCAGTAAGCCACTTAGTGAGAAATAATACCAATAAGAAGCACAACAGAATTTATCTCCTAGTTGGAGTTATATAAAACTAGGTTTGCAACCAGTCATGTATATTTCTGTATACAATATTAAGACTACTCAAATATGTATTTGCCTTTAGAGGATATATAGTACAGTGCAGTGTTTCTCAATCTCAGCAGCATTAAGATGGATGGTCTTCAACTCTCAGAAGTCCCCTGAGCCTGAGAAACACTGGTATAGTGTGAGTTTACATGGGTAATATTTGCTCCAGTTTGAGAAAAAGAAATGCATCCGAGGATCAAAACTTTAAAGGCACTGCCACTGCTGGTGCTGCCACCTGGTGGTCTAGAAGAAAAAATATCAGGACCTGTCCAGAATATCAGGAGCTGAAAATATTTGAGAGGCAAAATGGCAGCATCTTCAATAAATAAAATTTCTCCTTAGACCATTCAAATACAGATGCAGAACAAGTAAAAAATTTTTTGCCTCATTGAGAATTAGAATAGCTTACAAAACCAGCCCCTTTAAAGAAATGTCTTACCATCTTAAGGACAATTCAATATCAAATTAGTTCAAGAAATTAGAAAAAGGGAGGGAGGGAGGGAAGGCAGGAAGGCAGGCTGATACGTAGAGAGAAAGGAAGAAATTAGGGTCTTCTATAGATTCAATTTTGTGGAAAATCATTATAGCTGTAACCGCAAGCGCTGGAACAGGACGTTTGGTCAAAAGAGTTCTTTCTTCCTACTCACCCTATTTAAAATGTAAACAGTGAAGGCTTCACTAGTATACCTAGGTCACAAAACACATTCAATAGGGAAAATGAAGCACCACCACCAAACAAGCATAAAAGAGCTTGGTACCTGTTAGATACACAAGCAAGCCTTACAATTTTGGGGTTCTCTGGTCTTCTGTTTGCTGGACGTGACATTCTTCTTGGACAGTAGGAAGATATCTTCAGTATTATATCCCTCCTGGCTTGGACAGCATTCTCTGCTGCTTTGGTTGCCTGTTACTCCATTTCTTCCTCAACCCTAGTTCCTACTTCCCTTGCCTACACCCTGTTTGTAATGAACTCTGATGCTACAAATCCTGCTTTTTCTGATGCTCCTCCTCTCCTCAGCATGCCTGAGATCTTCCAAGAGAAATGTGTTTGGCAAGAAATCAAGCTTGCTTCAGTAAACAACCTGACTCAGATCGTTAACTGATCCATTAAACAAAACAGCCTGCAAATTACATGCAAAATAGCGATCTTCCTGCTTGAAGCCTGCCATGAGAGAGATGCTTTCAGAGAGGCTTTTAACACAAGGCCCTGCCTTGTGCATAACGTTTTATGGCAGGGGCAAAGGACATTTTCCACTCTCCATCTTTCCCCACCATTTTCCTAGGTGCTTTTAGGGGAAGATTTTATTGCACATTTGCCCTACCTTAGTACACAATTTCATGAGGATGTCAGACGAGAGTGCCTTCCATTTGTAAAGACTTGCTTTTTCCATAATCTCTTTCTTTCCAGAGAGTATCTGTCCATCAGAGACAAAAGAGCTCTGTAGTGCTTTAGACTGCAAAAGCCAACGTGTCTAGAAACATCCCTCCCTTTTAATTCCCATAAAGAAAAGCCATTAAGGAAGGGAAGAGAGGATGACTTTTGATGGGTAACATCAAGGAGTGCTCCCTCTGGAACTGCCCTAAGTTATGGGCACGTGACCTGACATGCCAGGGCAGTGAGGGTTTAGCCTCAAGTTTCAGTCTAGGAAGTGGCTCACTGAATTCCTCCAAACATTCTGCCAAAATGTAATTTTTAACATGGCAGAGCATGATTCAATACATGGGAAGTGATCAATTATTTGACTTAAATAATGGATTTACACTAAACAATGTATTAACTATTTAACTTGGGGACTGCAAAATTTGCAATACTCCCTAAAATGATAAATAAATGTATGCAGCTCCCTCCCAGTGAGGAGGCCCAGTGTGGTGTAGTGGTTAAGGTACCAGGCTAGAAACCGGGAGACTGTGAGTTCTTATCCCGCCTTAGGCACCTTGGGCCAGCCCTTCTCTCTCAGCCCTTGGAAGGAGCCCTTGGCAAACCACTTCTGAAAAAATCTACAGGGACTAGTCCAGGCAGTCACTAGGAACCAACACTGGCTTTTTTTTAATAGTAATTTTATTAAAAATTACAATTATAACAATAAAAATGAATATAAACTAAAAAAAGAAAAAGTAGAAAGTGCAGAAAAGAAAAAAATAGAAAGAAAAATAGGAAAGAAAGAAAAAATAAGAATATAGTAAAGAAAAAGTAAAGAAATATATAAAGAAATGACTGCCCCCTTCATCACAAGTATAAACAATTCCAGTAACTTAGCATGGTCTCTTAAAATACAACAAATGATCTCTTCTTCCCATATCCCATCTCTTATCTATAAACAAA